TATTGCATTTTTCCTTTCACATATAATTGACAAAAATCCAGAAATAGCAAACTGTCCAAAAGGGAGAGAAAAAGGCCATGGTGAGTCTCTGCTCTTCTCTATAGCCGCTTCACCACTATCCTTTAAATATTAGGTAAAATTTGGGGCCCTCTATAAAGCTATCCATCACTGGCCCCAGTGAGCCTAGTATTTCCTTATTTTTGTTTCCAAGAGAGTCCTTCTCAAAATTAAATGTGCACACAAATCACCTGGCAGTCTTGTTAAAATGCAGATTTTTTTTATATATATAATTTATCTTGTTGTTGTTGAGAACATACACAGCAAAACATACACCAATTCAACAGTTTCTACGCATACAATTCAGTGACGTAGATTACATTCCTTGAGTTGTGCAGCCACTCTCACCCTCTGCATGGGGCCTGTGGCTCTGCATTTCTCCCAGGCTCGCGAGTGCTGCTGACACAGCCCATCCATGGGTCACTCTTGGAGTAGCAAGGTCTTGCAGCATGTGGGGCATGACTCTAAGTCTACTCTCACTTTATTGCAATTATTTGTTTATATGTACATCCTCTGCTTTAGACTGTCAGCTCCTTTGTGCAAAAAACATGTGCTTTTGGCATGTATATATCCAGTGTCTAGCATATTATATAAACCTGTTGCCATCAAGTGGATTCCGACTCATAGCGGCCCTATAGGACAGAGTAGAACTGCCCCATAGGGTTTCCAAGGAGCGGCTGGTGGATTCAAACTGCCGACCTTTTGGTTAGCAGCCTGAGCTGTTAACCACTATGCCACCAGGGCTCCAGCATATATATATATATAGCATATTATATATTATATACAAAAACCAAATCAGTTTCTGGTGAGTCAGTTCTGACTCATGGCAACCCCATGCGTGCCAGAGTAGAACTGTTCTCATAAGGTTTTCAGTGGCTGTGATCTTTTGAAAGTAGATTACCAGGCCTTTCTTGCAAGGTGCCTCTGGGTGGACTTGAACTGCCAACATTTCCATTAGCAGACGTGCATGTTAACTATTTCACCACCCAAGGATTCCATTATGTATCATATATTAATTACTCAAATCTACATGGTCAAAGATTTAGCGAAAGGATAAATCAATAGCGCAAACTCAAAACAATCTCTTAGAGTCCCTGATGGAGCAGGAGAAAAGTGGGGTGTAGAACTCAAATTCTAGTTCCTCTACTGGAGGAACCTCAGAGAGCATAGACCCGGACTCTCTGTCAACCCAGAACTAAAACTATTCCCGCGGCCAACTCTTCAGACAAATATTAGACTGGACTATGGGACATAAAATGATACTCGTGAAGAGTGTGCTTCTTAGCTCAAGCAGATACATGAGACTAAATGGGCAGCTCCTGACCGAAGGCGAGATGAGAAGGCAGAGAGGGTCAGGAGCTGGTTGAATGGACATGGGAAATCAGGAGTGGAAAGGAGGAGTGTGCTGTCACAGTATGGGGAGAGCAATTAGGGTCATACATAACGTATGTATAAATTTTTGTATGAGAGACTAACTTGAATTGTAAACTTTCACTTAAAGTACAACAATAAAATTTAAAAAAAAAACAACAACAATCTCTTAAAGACTCAGATTGTATGATGGGTTGATAGATACCTAACTAGCTAAGTGTTTGGTATGGAGAGCCAGTAAGAGAGAATTTTCAAATAAAATATGGCAAAGGTTCAAGGAGAGTCTTGAACAAGTGATCTGAGTACTAAGTATGTAGCAGAGTGCCAAGTCAATGTGATATTTTTAGAGTTAAAACATATCCTTGGGAATGAAATATCGATCCACAAAGCCATGTGGATTAAAATAATTATGCTGTATGAAGAAAGACAGTATTAAAGAGAACATACTGTATAATTCCATTTATATAAAACTCTAGAAAATGCAAACTAATCTATAGTGCACCAACATCCATGGAAGCAGCAGTCAAGAAATCAAAAGACGCACTGCATTGGGCAAATCTGCTGCAAAAGACCTCTTTAAAGTGTTAAAAAGCAAAGACGTCACCTTGAAGACTAAGGTGCGCCTGACCCAAGCCATGG